CACGTTATATATAATTATCATTCACTGTTGTTTAGCAGAGGGTTAGCAAGAAAACTACAGTACCCCAGTAGCTCTACACACAAGAAGCAGTTGATTTTTTAAGCCTCATCTTCTCACTCTCCATGTCTTCTTGAATTCCTGATGAAGCAGTTGTTCATCAACATCTGCTCAACAGACTTCATCAGGCAGTCACCACTGCTCCCTTGTGCCTTTCAATGACAACTGACATTAGCACAAAGAATCCTGTACACGTACGCTCACAGCAAAGCCTCCCAACATTGCTCTTAGATGAGTGTACATTTACGTCCACGTACACGTAGCATCCAGCGTGGCCCACTTCTATTTTCCAGGCTGGTTTACTATTAAGATATGACTTATCGTAATTTGCACCAACAGGCAAAAGAACTTGTGAGTGGTAATGACTCTGTTGACAACATCTCAATGGCACGGAAAAGCAAGGTGAACGGAAGGCCACCCAGCACAGGGCTTTCCACATGTACATGTACGTTTACCAGGCAAACCTATCTGTACATCTGTCTGCATTTCTGAAGTGAACTTAAAGATTTATTAGACAAAGACTTGAATCAAGAACTGCCGGTATGCTGCTCCAGTTAGTCCCTATGCTGTGGTTGTCATCATGTACGAGTATGTAATGCCTCTGTATAACATACAAATACTGGAAGCATTTATAAAGCATGTCTCCTATGGGTATGGTGCTTTGGAAACAACACAGCAAAATGTACATGTATGTAAATGAAATTATCAACACAGCGCCCACTTTATTAACATTTGCTCTAAAGTTGAATAATCTAATACTTTTGAATACATCACCTGTACCAACTAGAATTTTATTTTGATGCATTGTATTATCTCCTGCCTGTCAGTGTTCGTCCGTATGTGTATCACTGCCAAAAACATGTTCATGTCTTGTATTGTCCTATGTTATAATATGTATGTCTGTCAATAGGTTAGAGTACAAAAGCAAATTTACATGTATGCCCTTTACCTAAATGTTGTTCTTTAACGTGTTAATGTGTGTTAATAAAAATACATCTACAAGTACACTGTACACACTGTATGTACATGTACATTATGTATGTGCACATGCGTTGTTTACAGAGCAAAACGAAATGCTCATTTACTGATTGCACATTTGGCTGTATCAACTTCACCATAAGGCACCAATATACATGTACATCTACGTACATGTGTGCAAATTATACAACAGCCAACATACAACTTTTGATCTAGAAATTCCATGCGTGTAGGTTTGTTCACAGACTTGGATGCACTCAGCAAGCTTCAATGTGTACAACGAATTAGTGGTAGCAATCTAGCCATTTAAATACATGTAGAATTTTCCAAGGATAGATCATGCTTTGTTGCCTCATTGTAAACATAGTCACTCAGCTCAACATAAATTCATGAAAAGGGAAATGCATATGAGGGTGTATGTTTGTGACTCTCAAAACTTACCCAACCTTTCAAGGAAGATTTCAACAGTCTAGATTTTTAAGGTTTTGGCAGTGTCGTAGACTCTTTTGTTTGTTTCTCATCATTCTTGATGTAACACTTACAGTTTAGTATTTAAGAAATCTGTCATCAGTACAATGCAATGAATTAATCTTTCTCAAATATTACATTGTAACATTTATCAATTGGCTTGTTGTGTCTCTATTCTGCACAGAAATTCCAGAGTGGTGCTTGTACATTGTAGTTACACATACCGTAATTCTGACATGCAAACTAGTGGTGGGCGTGAAAATGAAGTCCAGATTTTCTTTAATCTGCTTTGGGCTTTACTCTCCAGCTTCAATACACAAGCTCATGTACAGGTACATGTACACAGTGACACTGCCTATATGTAACTAACAGGTACATGTACCTGTGCCACTTTCCCATTGCAAAGAATTGTTTATAGTTCAAGCACGCTGCTGCTTTTAAAAAGAAAGACGTGCATACAGTATGGATCTCACTAATTTTTCCCTGCTGTGATGTAAGTTATTACATGTAGCTATTTGAAAGCAATAAAATGTCCGAAAAAGGTCAAATTTAGCAGTGAATCCATTGAGGTAATGATACACATTTGCTTTGAAAACGCAGAATTATTCAGACAAGTGTCACAGGGTTTGGCATGTACAGCATTGGTCCCAACAATAACAGACCGTCTAGGGTAAGGATCTTCCAAATGTTAAATCAGTTGGGGATGGTCCCAATGCAAATGGGACCTAGGCTACAGTTCGAGCATTTAACATATTCACTTACACTCGTACCTTGCAGCAGCTGTCCTTCTGGATGGAATGTGCCTTGTCACTTGTTAGTTGTATGACACAAGTTTGCACCTACACTCTACATGTAATATTGGTTTAATTTCTTTCCCGGGAAAGTAACAGCATCCCTAATTAAATTGTGACTAGTAGGCCCTATGCCTACAGCAGCAGAGTGGCAGTCCTCGGGTGAAATATGCCAACTTAAGGAAAACGGCAGAAAATATGGAGTAACACTATAGAATACAGGGCCACCCCCTAGAATCACTGGCTACCGTGTCACGTTGGATGGGAGTAACTTCAGGAAGAAGTCCAAATCCAGTACCTGGATGGTGGCTACATGGCTATGATATAAAAAGAGTTCTTTTGGAGAACGAAGCAACACAAAATGAATAGAGATGGTAAAAAAATCTAAGTCCAAACCGAGTGGCCCTGCCCCTCTTCAATGCACAATGGCCCACTTCTCAATAACTGGAAGTGTCTTCTACTGACTGACGGATCATGCTGATTGTCACCACAGCACAGGATAGGATGTTCAAGTTCAAATCATCAAAAGAGGGGTGAAGACTTAGCATCGACAATGTAGCTTGGCCGTGGCCAAGCCTAACAGACTTTTACAGTGTTAGTTTGGGCTTTAAAAAGAAAAAAACAAAGGAATTTATGATTTTATCACAAATTGAACTTAAAACTAGGCCTAAATCTAGTGAAAAAAAGGAGATGGTGAAGTGCTGTAGTTGCCGCACATCAACAAAACTTGAGGAAATTTAAGCGGGTGCAGGATGCACAAGTTGTACGCCGGCCGACTTCAGCTGCAGTACTTAGGCCTAGCTCGTAACCTACTCAGCCCGTGTTGGGCACACGGTTTTCTCACCTTCTGCACGATGTTCAGCGACCCATCTTTCATGATTTTTCGGATGATGCTCCCGGCTCTGTTGGCTATCGCCACGGAGGCTGACACCAGGCGGATAATCAACGGCGAAGCACTGCTCGATGCCATCCCTTGTGCCTTACCCAAACTGATTCGCTGAGGAACGGGGAAGTCAGAAGATGACCGGAACACTCTCTCAGTTCTCCAGCTCGCGAGTCGCAGCACACACGCTAGTCTCATCGAGCTATGATTTTGCTGCAGTTGCTTTCATGTGCCTTTATAACATTTCGAGCTCGCTGGTCCCCTGTTACCTATATAGTTTTTCGATAGGTTTTCTCATTTGGGCATTAGGGGCCAGTCCATTTTTATCGTTCGTTTTATTTTAAACATCCGTCACAAGCGGGCGCGCTACCGCAAGGGAAAACATGCGTGCACTCATCGCACCATCGATCCTTGCCGTGGTATAAGGAGCGCTGAGACGGCCTGGGGCGTCGGCCCTCTCCGGATATATAAGATAAGGTCAAACCACTTCAGGGATTGTCTTGGGAGTGTGCCATTCTGAACTCACTCTCCTTGAACTTGTAATGCAACAAAACGAGCAGCTATGGATCGTCTCACTGGCAGCCAACTGATAGTTTACTGTCCTCTCCAAATGGGATGCAAAAACACTGTATAAGAAGACGGATGGGGCATTTTGTTCTTGCTTTAGCGAGAAAAGGCTTTGCTTCAAAGTTCTTATTTTCATTTTGTGCTTCTTGGTGGGAGGTACGATACGTGGGAAGTATTTTCTCGCGTGCAAGGCCTTAACTGCCATTCAAAGGCAACTGGACATTAATAAAGTTCAAAGTCGAGTTTGCACGTTTCATATGACGTCTATAAGTAAATGTCAGCCGGGAGTGTAACTTTAATTAACGACACAGTTGTTCTTTTAAGCAAGTCAATAACGCAAGTCCATGAAGGCTTTAGCTGGCTTTTATAAATCCCTCACTCTGCACCTACAAGTAGCAAGTAAGATTTGACACCCAACGACAACTTCAATGCAATATGTAGTGTGAATAAACCAAAGACTCATACGAGTTTCCTTTTGAAAAAAGAAGAAACAAACTCTTCTTGTTATATTTTTGCCTTCTTCGTTGTCAGAAGCCGCTTGGGTCTTTTTATATTTTTTATTTTTTTTTTGTAATTATTACCACAGGAAAAAAAATGAGGTGAACAAAGTAAAGACGTCAACTAATCCACCGACGGCCACTTTCTACACAGTACAGAATTGCTCATGTTATATTCAAACATTCATCAACACGTTCCCTGACTGCAGGCTTAGCTAACTGAGGCTGCAGATTGCAGGCACAGCCGCCCAGGCAAAAATAAGTACACCATTTGTCCAACGTGTCTCTAATTTTGTGTCTTCAAAGGGTGGGAGCAAATGGTTATTTGATGAAGAGTGATGGGCATTTTGAAATTCAAACTAAAGAGCGCCCCCCAAATTCCCACTAACGCTCATCTGTAAGCATGTTTCTTCACCCCTTTTCTTTCATGTCATATTCCTCATTCCTATTTTTCTCCTTTTTCTTTTGTGGAGGGTCCGTCGGACTATACTGAATAGCAACCTGCTATTGGTACTTTGCTGCTTTTTGTTTTCTCCAAAATTGTTTTCTTTGCGCCTTTTTATTTTCTTGATTTGACTTTCTTTTTGAGTTCCTAAGGAATCTCGTTTCAGTAGAGCATGTGTAAATCACATTATGTACCAGACGGTTGTTAAAGTTTAATTGTTTATACTCCCTCCCCTCCTTCCAATCCCCAAATCAACAGTGAAAAGAAATGGCGCCCTCTATCCTTATGTTCCATACTATAGGTAGATGCCCGCACTTTAGCTGCTTTTAAACGTTATTTTCTCTCCTTGTGGTATCAGGTACCATGCTATGTTTAGCACAAACAACAAAATCACCATTGTTACGCCGGACGCTGGTGAAGTGGTAGGCCAAAGGACGTGCATGATTTACGGAAGTTCTCAATGAGTGATTCATTGCGATAACAGGATGACATCCATAGAGTCAAAAGCGCGCAATGGGGGCTTGATAACCGGGTGAGATTATTTGATTGAAATTTTTGTCTTCACCTAACAAATCACCCCCAGAACTGTGGGCGTTGGACCCCACACTCATTGTTCTGGGTGTAGGCTACTATTTACTAATAAACAGGAAGTTTTTCCTTTCATGTTTTAAATCAAATCTGAAGTTGAATTGCTATGGGCGGCAGGATAGGCCTGGGCTGCTTTCTGAACAGTAAGGCACTACTCAGGCCTTCCTGATGTTTGATGGTTCTGTACACAATTACTGAGTGGAGCATTAGTACTACTAGTACTACTAGTACTGGCCTATTCCTCTTTTATGATTTTGGATGGGATCGTCATACTAATGCTCCACGCCTGTACATAGAGTAAGGTGAAAACGGTTCTCAAAAATTCCAAAGACTCACCAAAAATACCTCTATCACCACCTACTGGCTGCCGTAAATGCCAACGTCAAACAGTTGGAGCTTCAATAATATTTCTGACTTCAAAATCTGTCAAAATCCGACTGTTTTCGTTTGACACACGTATAGCACTTAAACTTTTCGCCGCCTCCTCCCATACAAATGCGGGGTGTAGAGTTTCTGGCCAATAACTCTATGGGCACAAGACTTGTTGATCGTGACATTTGGGAGTGCTACCAACAAGATATATATGCAACCAAACATATGAAGCCAAACCACGGTGGTTGTGTTTATATTGCGCATGCCCAATGTGTATTAGACTCGAGTTGCAGCCGTTCATCGGTATATCAACAGTAAAAACACCATCAATTTGTGTGAATTGGGGTAGTCAAGTGGTTACGGCATAAGGGTTTGTGATGCATGTTATAGGAGCCTAATTTCACACGTGAGTTTTTATGGTTGGTTGAGCATCTAGATGTCATGTATTGTGCATGGTTGTGAACCGTGGTTTGGCTTCATACATGTGATTGCATATATAGCTCCTACCAACGACTGTTTCCTGGTCAAAACGTCTTGTGTCCCAACTACATATGGGCCGCTCCTGCAGTTCGTTAGAGTCCATAGAGTTATTGTGCCAGCAAAATCTAGGCACGCGTATTTGAATGCGAGGAGGCATCAAAAAGTGTAAGTGTTGTGTGTGTGTGTTAAGCGAAAATGGTCAGATTTTGACACATTGTGAAGTAATACCACTGAAGCCCCAAGAGTTTGCCTTCGGCATTTAAGAAAGCCAATAAGTGGTGAACAAGGTACTTTTGTTGAGTCTTTGAAATTTTTTAAAGCCATTGTCACTTTACTATATGTAATGTCGTCAGTATGACCAATCCCGTCCAAAATTTGAAAAAGAGGAATACTGCCTCTCCACTCAGTAGAGCTACATGTAGCTTTCTTGATAAAATCTTCCCCTAACAAGCCATAATAACAGGTAACCTATGCTGGTGCGTACGGAACCATCAAACATCAGGAATCAGTAAGGCCTACCATGCCTACAGAGTACTAAACAGTAACAGTTGAGGTCAGGGCTTGCCAATTAACCAATGTAGGTATACCTTATTTTCTTTTTATAGGGCCTAGGCCTACTAGAAATCGGCTTTTTATTGGCGATAATAAAAGTACATTTGCCATTCTGTTGTTTGTTTTTTCCTCAGATGATGCACGTGCAGCTGATGTAAATTGACTCACTGGTAATCACTTTGTCCCACATGGCTTTGGACTTGTGAGATGTCATGGGAAGTGGCACCAGTGCTCACAAGCCAAGTGCAAGTACTTCACCGACAGGTGGAAACATGAACAACAATAAGGACTGTGGATTGGATGCCCGCTCTTGTGAGGTTGTACCAGATGGGACAGATGCACCTTATACAGTAAGTGGCCCATGCACTCTGCTGTTCATATTCTCACCTTCTGTAGTGGTGATGTTGATGAAAGTTGAGTGAGTCACACATTTACTCCGTGTCTGCAGTTCTGTTGTCCTAATTTTGTTGAGACCATTTTAAAAAGGTGTTTATTATTGTGTCATTGTACATATTATCATTGAAATTTTTTCTTTATTAAGAACAATGAAAACACTTTGGAGTCACAGACAACGGAAGACAAAAATGAAGATGGGGAATCATCGAAAGAACAGAACGTAGAAGAGAAGAAAGCAAGTATTGCAGAGACAATGGCATTCTTGATGACAGTCCAGGACTTTGCTACTGAAGAGTGCCACGAGAAATTTACCACACTGGGCAAGATCTCCATGGACAGGGCCAATCGGCTGGAGCTTGGGAGGTACATCATGGAGCTGGGCTTTGCTGACCTCTACGTCACCATCCATAGCAACCTCTACAGCCACGACCTGTTCAACCTGGAGAGCCCGGACGAGAGCCGCAAGCAGGCACAGGCCAACCTGAAGAAGATGCGCGTGGCCTACTGGAACTTCACTGACTGCACGGCCGAGCTGTGCACGGCCCTGGGCCAGACTGGCGCCCTGGAGATGACCATCAAGGAGCTGACCCACCCAGAGCTGAGCCACGATAAGCTGAAGAAGGAAGCCAAGCGGTATGTAGTGCAGGGAGCCCTGGGGGTCCTGTTGAACTCCATCCGCCTTGGGGAGGGGAACCGGGCCATCTACCGCAAGGCGGGGGCCGTGGAGATCCTCCACACCCTCATGAGTTGCACCTTTCTCATTGTACGTGTGCAGTGCCTTCTTACCTTGTCTTACATCATCAATGAAGAAGAGAGCGAAAAGATCACGGCATCCGATGGCTCAATTGACACTCTGCTGACTTGGATAAGAGAGGCCTTACGGACGAAAAACCACAAAACCAAACGGTGAGTTTATTTTGACAGAGTTTCACCAACGTTTAATTCATAATCTGACTTTTATATTATGCCTCTTTGAGTTCTACAGATTCAGCACTGACAATAATGCTTTGATCTGACAGAAACGGTAATCTCTTTCAAGGCCACTCCACTTTTATGTTCATTGTACATGGCTGCTGTATGCCACTATCACTGAAGGTATGTGGCAATAGCTGTCCCACAGACGTAATATTAGATTATGTACTTTATGTGGTTAGATTTGGCTTCTCAGTTGAGGAGCTCATGATCGGCTTGAACAACCTGGCGCTGAACGACAACAACAAGGTTAAAATCGTGCAAAAGGGCGGTCTGGACCCCCTGGCCAAGATGCTGACAGTGGCCTTCTCCATTCAGGAGCAGGAGCTGGCCGCCGGACTGGCCTGGAAGCTGGCTTTTATTCCGTCCAATCGACCAGTCATTCAGCAGCACAAGCCTCTCATTGAAGGTAAGTAGGTATTATGAGACCCCCCTAGGTTCGGTTCAGTTTGTAAAAGCTTGACCTTCGCCTTCCCAATTTCTTTCAAATCTCCCTTGCGTAGGTTGAGGATTTTGAAGGATTGAAGATTTGATATTGAAGTTATTTTTACTTTCTCAAACTCTTCTCACATTTTCCCCTTCAGTACTCATAAAATTTCCTAAACTGAATTTAATTTTGCAGAGTATCTTTTCAAATCTTGTTGAATAATGTGTGAGCAGGTATCCCTATGTTTGCAATACACGTATGTGAACGTTTGTTTGCCGTGTGTATGCAGCTTTGACCTCGATGAGAGCATGTGAAAGTGTGACTGTGCGTGAGGCCTGCACCGGTGCACTCTGGGAAACCAGTGAGGGTCAGATTGACTTGCCGGGGCATGTGCTGCACACTGAGCACCTGGCCAACGACAAGCACATTATGATCAGCTACCAGTGGGACGTGCAGAGACGCATGATCATGCTGAAGGACCAGCTGATTAAAGCTGGCTACCGAGTCTGGATGGACGTGGATAAAATGGGTAAGACATTGAGACCAAGAGAACAGGCAGAGTAGAAGATCACTTTTTTGGTACAGCTGGGGGAACCATGGAATTGGTCTGTGAATGAAATCTGGAGAACAAAAATCAGGTTTGGTACATTCTTTTCCAAAAGGAAGAGCAGAATGTTTACTTTTTTGTGTATTTACTGTTGACAGATTAACTACATTGCCCATGTGTTTCAGTAAGCCCCATTTTGGGACTTTTCCAACCTTCAGGTCCTGCAGTGAATTAAAAATAAACCTATGTTGCTCATTTTGGAGCTGTCTAATTCAATTCCGAGATACATTTTTCACTTTGTATCATTTACATTATGGCTTAAGTTCAACATCTTTGTATTAGTTACATCAAGATCAAAGTCATTAGACTGATACCATGCCTGTGCTGTTTTGCTTGAAATCAACAGACAGAATGTGTGTTCTGAGGTACCAAGCTTTCTTACTCATTCGTAAATACCTGAGACAGTCTCTCTATTCAACCATGTGCAACTTGACCATGTATTAAAATTTAATAATGCCCGCTGAGAACTGAGAATGCTTGCTGCGTAAAACATTCATTGGCACCTGGCTATGAGACAGTTTAATCCATCCCCGTTGGTCATGAGTCTGCATGCAACACAACATGCAGAACTCGCCTAGTGGGCACCAAGTCTGTATACAAAGAGATTCCATTGAACAACTTTTCAAAGGAAAAACCC